GGGGGGCCCACCCGGGGCCTGCCCGGGGAGCAGCGGCTGGCCAGGGCTCCGGCAGCCTCCGCGCAGGGTGTTGCTGGAACCTCAGCCCCCCCAGACCCAGCAGGTGAAGCTCATTCAGCCACCCCAGCCCTGCCAGGTAAGGAATGCAAACCCATAGAAATAAGGTGGCTGTAACTAAGGCCGTAATGAGGCACTTGAGGAAACAGCTACAGTAGCTTTGGTCTCAAGTGGCACTGTAAATATACAAAATACTGGTGCAAAGGTTGGCTGGTTTTCTACAGACACTTTTGTGAATTATTTTGTCCCAGAATACACTGACCTGTTCACAAAGGGATCTTCACAGTAAAATTACTTTTCTTTTTTCTCCTCTCTTTGTTTAAAAAATATAATTCAGCTTCCCAAACAAATGAACCATTTAGAAACAAAAATACAATGTCAAGTTCTTACACAGGCTTGCTTTTTAATACAGGAAGCGTTTAACTTTCAAATTGCATACATCTGACATCTAACACTGAATTACTTGAAAGGCTTGTGCTTTAGCAATGAAGCTTTTAAGCTACCTGGTTTTTATTTGCAACTTAACATTTCCTTCTTGAACCTCTGGCTTGTGATCTTGCATGGCAATGGACATGCTGAGGTAGGTCTGCAGTGTGGAGACAGTACTGGGAGGGGGACAAAACGGGTGGGGGGGTGCTGCTCTACCGGTGTTGCACTGGGCTGGCCACTGAGCATAGACATGACAAGGCAGACAGAACAAACAAACCTTCAGGCAACCCATTCCTCTGTGCTTGAAGCTTGATGTGAATTTGGAACAAAGGCAAGGTACTAACCATGGGAGACACCAACACGCATGTGGCAGCAGGCTGTGGTCCTGGACTTCTGAGGCTTAGAGTTTTAGTGTAGGTTCAAGCACCAGGTGTGACTCTGCAAAGATTCCTTCAGCCAGTGAGGGAGTTCAGAGAGACTAGATGTGAAGATACTTTGCATTGGAGTGAGCAGGATGGAGCTTCCTTCGTAGGGAGTGGATAGATAAGCTGTTCAATTGGCAGCAATGGCGTGTGGAGAACATGTGACTTCAATCAAATTATAAGAATTAAAGTTGCAGAAAGCTAATGAGACCTGAGGAGCAGCATAATGACAGTTAACTGGAGAGAAAAGATCCCTGAGAGCAAAGCAAATTTCAGTACCATGAATTAATTTTTGTATCTTCCTGGGCAGCTCTCAAACTTGTCTGACAACATGACCTTGGAGGGAGAATTTGTATGGATAGAGGCCCTTGTTAAACAGGCCTTCAGTCCTAGGACTGTTACAGCAAGACCCTCTCAAGAGATCAACCCATTTGCCACTTGCCAAAAATTAATTAGAATGAAAAAAAACCAATCTCAGGCAGTGATGGAAGAGATATCCTAGATTCAGTTTTGTGGGGTTTTGGTAGGTGGCTTTTTTATTGTTATTTTATGTTTGTTTGTTTATTTTGGAGGGCTTAGGGGACTGTTTTGGTTTTTAAGTATTATGATTCAAAATGATCATCACCATAAGATGACAGCTTTTTTACAGTCACTCTGAATCTTCTACCAGCTAGGTTCTCTGTATATCAGTTCTGCATCCTCCTCAAAAACAGCTGTCAGCATCTGTTGACATCATTATTAAAGAGTTCCACAAGTAATTAATCCATAACTTAATGGCAGGTGTTATGTTTAAAACAAGCAATGAAGAGAGAAGTAAGACTTGCACATAGCATAACTGCATTTAATCATGCTTTAACATATGTCAATCCAAGACACAGGAACAGATGGTTACATCCCTAATACAAGACAGTGCTACAGCTGCCATTCTCCTGGAATGACAGGAAAAGTTCTTTTTTGAAAGAAAGACTGTATCACCAGAAGACAACTACTTGAGGTCAAGGTATACAAGACTCATTATAAACAGATTATCTCCAGGCTCACGTAAATAGAAAATATTTCTAAAGTCTATATGGCTGTAAATCTGAGAGCTCTGGACTAAAGTAACTTAAGGCCAAAAACCAGGATCATTCATCATTTTGATGTCAAATTTTATCATCCATGGGTTGCCATCACTCCCCAGGTGTGATGCAGTCTGTCATTGCTGGGTGTGCAGGCTAGCTGTTCAATTCTTTGTCATGAATACTGCAACCAAGAAAGTACCTACTGCTCTCTTCAGATACTTGTTTCTTGATATAATCACCAATTCAGGCTGTCAAATTTGTACTACAATGCAGCCTACTTAAATTGTTTCACTTCTCTTCTGTGTACCTAGTTAAAATATCTTACGCAAATCCAAATGCATCCTTTCTTTTTGGACTTACAGCTAAGTAGTCATTTGGTTGCTTTGTATTTCAGAGCTTTTCTCAGTCAGTCCCTCCAATTCACCAGTCATTTTGATGTCTCAAGCTCAGTCCTCTGCAGTTCTGCAACAGCTTGCAGGTGCTTAAGTGTTCATCCCAAATGCAAGTGCAGAAACTCCTGAATCTTTCTCCAGGAGTGTTCCTGTGCATGGGCATGTGCTTTGCTCTCTCCACCCCCCAGAACAGGCACCCCCAGAACACGATCCAAAGCTACCTTAGAAAATGGAGTACAAGGAGGATCAATTCGGTGACCTGCTCCTGGATAACTCAAGAGTTCAAAGTTTTCTTTCCCATGCTGGCGTAGACGACTGATTGCAAGCTCAGCATATGAGGAGCTCTTCCACATGCGATCATTTTCCCCTACCACTAAGAGAAAGTGACCTTCCGCCTTCTCAATGGGGATTGCAGAAGGAGAGTTGGCAGGATTCGCTGGGTCCTCCAGAGCGTCAAAAACATCAAATACACCAGCATCAGAAACACTGACCTTATTCATATCAAAACGCAGCCCAGGCAGAGTCATCTCACCATAATGGAGATCTGCAACTGTGTTTGAGCTACAGGCAGAGATACAGACAGCAGCCACCACTTCTGGCAGGAAGGTGATCATGGAGAGCGCTAATTCTGCCCCTTTCCCAGTCCCAATCACTCCAACTCCTGGTCCCTTCACCTTCAGTTAAGATAGGGGATGGGGAAGAAAGGAAGTATACATCATGAGATTAGACATTAAATGCCTCTGGAGTTGTTATTAAAAAAAAAAAAAAAAAAAAAGGCTAGGTTTATTGTTTAGTGTCTTATTTTTCAGAGACAACAGCAAGCTGTCAAACTCCACAAAATAACACAGACAGGCACAGATACCGTCACTTCAACCTTAGCTAGTCCCTACTGCATATTTTGATACACATATGTTGTCTTTTTCCCAAAACAGGTAGCAGGAAATTCAAGCAGTCTATTGCTATACAAATCTCAGGCAAATAAGTTAACCTCATAAATGACATCTGAAGGATTACATAATTAGTATTTAGTCTTGTCCTTTTCTAGCCTGGAAAGTAAAAATTAAAGCAACATCCAAAGTCATCAAATCCATTCCTTTGCTGACTACTGAGGAGTTTTGCATCATCCTCTCAAAGTAATTGCTTTAATTAAAAAAAATACACCATCTTTATCACCACTGCTCCTGTTTGGAGGGTATTCCAGCACTTCACTGTTCTACTGATCAAGAATCTTCTCATTTCCAGCATGAATGTATTTAATAGACAGCTTGTGCTGGAAGAAATTCACTCTCTGCAGTTATATGTGTAGCCATCTATGCAGGACCTGTAGCTTTTCCATTTTGGGGCCTAAACTTATCCAGCAGAAACTGACAGTCAAAAAAAGCCACTAAAATAAATCACCACCACCATCAGGCAGGACTCCGTTATCCTTAGAGCTCTCCCGTAACACTCACCTTTGGGTGACGCTGTAGGAATCTAGCTGCCTCCTCAAAGTACTCCAGTTTGAGTTCTTTCAAGACCTTAGGCAGATCTTCAAAGTCAAAATACGGCAGAGAAAGAGCTGCAAAACCACGGCTAGCCAGGAGACTGGATCTAAATTCAATCAAACCTCCTTCATCACCGTACATGTCAATCACTCCTGGAAAGGGGCCATCACCTATAGTAAAAAGATGCACAGGTGACACTAAGAACTATCTGGTGAAGACTGAACAACAAAATCTTAAGACATTTTCTATTAATACTCATTGCTTTTCCATTTGCACAGCAGCAATTAGAAGAACTAGTACTGTATCTCACCTTAGCTATTTCAAAATAAGAATAGAGAATAGATCCTCACCTTCCTGTAAAAATTTAAACAGTTAAACTTGTCTTTAAAAAACCCAACAACCTGTTCTATTTTTCAATGGACCTAACCTCCTACCCTCAGAACAATCATAATCTAAATCTGCTATTTTCCCACAAAGAAGTTGTATCTTAAGTAGCAAAGTGCAAGCTCATTACTAATATGGCAAGAGCACAGAGTCCTGGAAAGAAATTCTACAAAACTTCTTCAAACTCTGGAATAAGGTGCATTGAGCAAAGCACAGCCAAGGAACACCCACTGGTAGATGAAATCAACTGGACTTACTAGCTCTCTCTGAATATCAGCACTGTAACACTTGGTAGCTGAACTGCTCTGCAGATGTGCAGAGGCAGAAGGTAAAACCAAGAGCTATATGGGTGCAGCTATGTGTAGGTGACTGGTATAAACATGCATATACCCGTGTATAGTCAATCCCACAAAACTACAGAAATAATCAGAACCACAATGTTAACCAAGCGTGCTTTTGCAGCCACAGTTGTGCTGTGATATTACCATATGCCCGGGCAAGCACATTTTTTTTTTTACTTTTTTTTTTTTTTTTTCCCCCTGGCCACCAGATGTCACCACTGATGTACTTGGATCCAGCTCACTATAATTATCTCAGCGGAAAAACGATTTGCTTCTGCAAAAATGCATTAACCTGTTGAGCAATTACCTCTGTGCAATACGGACAAGAGCTCTGGCATTTCAAGGTGCTTGAAGTTTTGGGCAAGACACAGTAAATGGTGGAAACCTCCTAACTTAAAGTGTTAGGAAGTCCAAAAAGGACTGAAACATGCTTTTGGGTTCTTTCAGTTCTGAATTTTTTCACAGAAGTTCAATACTCTACTTGAGAGAAAATACATACGGATAAATTTATCACAGTGATCAACAATAACCTTTACTTAACAATGGTCAGCCTGGATGGTTGGAAAAAAGTGCATTCATTTAGCACCCCTACCTGGAAAGCTTTCTAGCAAGAATATGTGATCAGAACAGAGTCAAGCATAAATGTGTTTCTCTCTCATGAAGAAAACCTGTAACTTACAGAAGGATCCTGGACTGCCTTTCTAAGTGCCTACACATGCCCAAGTATAGTTTCTGCATAGCTCACTAAAAAGCAGGATAAAATGGGCTAGACAACTTTGCTTGAAAAACCCACAAAACACTCTCACACCTGTAATGCATGCCTGAATTGAGAAATCTCCTTACAGTGTAAGCCCACTCATGTAATCTCACTTTTACTAAGAATGGTTCACCTTTATGATTCCTATCTTAACAATATTAATGGTTTTTTTTTATCCTTGGGGCAAAGAAAGGTACGGCAGTAATGCTGCCATAGTAACTAGATCCTCCCATCAAGAAGGAGGCCAGTATCATTTAAGCCATGATTCCAGACTTTTCCATGCTATTACAATGCCAGACTTTCTAAAGGGAAAAATGCAGTTCCACCTTGCAGATCTGTGGTATCCCACTGAGCTCAGCAGAAATCTAGCTCATCCTCTAAGGCAGGATGTAACAAAACAACCATGTCTCAGTGATGGAAAATACATGCTGACTAAACATTTGATCCAAAATTCAAAGTTCAATCTCCCTTGTTGTTTTTCTTCTGTGGACTTTGGATCTGTATCTAAATGGATAAAAAGATTATTGGTTTGGAAATCATTCACTAAAAATACTTAAATCCCTAATAACTGTGGTGATACTTACAGGACTTGCTGAACCAAGTTGGTATAAATTAGAGGTAATTTGGAGGACAGTTCTAGCAGCACAACACTCAGGGAAATACAGTGTTTAAATCATGGCTCAAGTGCACAAACACCATAATTGGTGTAGGGTTTAATTTTCCAACACTAGCAGTCCATCAGTGTCACACCTCATAAAGCACAACCACCCCACAAGCAGAACAGGTAGAACTTGCTTAGGAATCTGTTTTGCCTTTATACCACAGAACAACTGAAGTCACTCAGCTATTAACTTAGCTTTGGCTCTGGTGAAGCAGAGATGGAATAGCTAGATTTTCTACAGTCTCTTTTGCCTCTCTGCTTAGTGGCATGAGTTTCAAAGAGAAGAAAAACACCTTTTCAACTTGATCCTACTCAGGGGTAAAAACCCTTGGGAGATTTATCATAGTCTCACACGATGAAGCACATCAGCTTTTCTAAATGTTACAGATTTCCAGAGCAAACGTCAAACCTACTGAAAAACCACTGCCTGAGAGCAGCGACATGGTGAGTTCTACAGCTCCTCACTGAGCTTGAGCCTGTCTCACACAGCCGCCCGTGCCCGGCCCGCCCGCTGCCGCCCCGGGAGCCCCGCACACGCGGAGCCGTGTCCCGATAAGCCCAAAAGGAGCGTCTCCGTGAGATTTCAAGGGCCAAAACCCGGCCGCCTGTCAGCAGAGCGGCGTTCAGATCTAGCAGGGAACGCGGGTTTCCCGGGTGATGCCCTGTGTACGTTTTTCTTCTCAAAGACTCCCCCTGCCCTGCAGAGAAGCCCGGGGGGCCCGCGGGCCCCAGCGGGAAGGGCTCCGGCCGGGACACTCACTCACCCGGCGGCAGGAAGAGAGAGCCCCTCACGCCTCCCTCCTTCAGCCGGATCCTCCGCACGCCGGGGGCCGTGAACCACCTCTCCACCCCGGCCTTGGCCACCAGCGGCCCGGCCACGGCGCCGGGCGGGTTCTGGCTCTCGTGTACAAACATCTCCACCTTGATCGGGACGTCGGTGCTGCGGGGAAG